AAGGGCAAAGCCGTGCGGGCGCAGAGGAGACTGCCGTGCCGGCGAGGCTGCAGTGCTTGGGGACGCAGCCCCAGGTAACCCTGGCTCTTCCCCTCTGCACACCCCAGGCTGCGAGCACCTGGTAGGAAAGGTCCTGGGGGAGCGTGGCCATCGCATCCCCTGGGGCCATGGACTCAGCTGCAAAATGAAAGGGGCAGAGTCTCCTGAAAATGAGCTGCCCACTGCCCAGGGAGCGAAGGCAGCCTGTGCTCCAGGGGCTTTGCTCTTTCCAAGCCTGCGTGGGTCCCGCTCGGGCAGAGCTTTCCTGCTGTGAATGCACAGCAAGGATGGGCTGGGTCTCTAGGTCTGTGGTTTACTCCAAGCATCGTGTGGACACAACCCCTGCACGGGGCCGCAGGCTGGCAAGGGACCACCCTGGTTGTGCAAATCTCCAGGATGGGGCTTGCAGGGGCTTTGCACATGGGCAGGACGGCTGTGCCAGAGCAGCGGGGCAGAGGGACAGATGGACAGAAGGACAAAGGGACAGGGGGATGTCCCACAGGCAGAGGGACCCTGCCAAGCTTGCAAGAGGCAGCTGCTGTGGGTCAGAGTATCCTCCCATGGCACGTCCACCACGCAGGGAAGTGCTGCTGGGAGCAGCGAGCCACGGCCACAGCCCCTCTCCTTCCCCACAAATCCAGCAGCTGCCTGGACCCAAACCCCATTTCTCCTCCAAAAACTCCTGTTTCTCTCCTGCTGGCCCCTGTGTCTGCAGCCAAGAGGACGTCTGAAGAGACCATGGCTGGGGATGGTTCGCAGCTCCTCTCACCTTCTCCCCACTCCTCTCTGCCCATCTGCCCTCCTGCCCTTTGCGTGTGACAGAGCCGGCGGCACATCCCTGTGGGATGGTGGCTCCTCGTGCCACTTTGGGGATTGCTCCCAGCCTGGGGCAGTGCCATCCCCCCATGCTAGCACTGCAGAAACAGGAGTTTCAAGACCGTGAGCAAAAGCAGCTGGTGATTTCAGCTGCCAGAGCAGAGAGAATAACCCCAGCGAGGTCTCTCCAGAGGACAGAAGGACACAGAGCCGCTGCAGGGCCAGCACAAACCCCAGAAGAGGATGGAGAAGGGCAAACTGCCGGAGGAGGCGAGCGGAGGCAGGAGGGAGCAGAGGGAAGGCAGCTCAATCTGCTCCTCCAGGCAGCCCTGCAAACCGGGAGGCGTTTGCTGCCCACCCCGCTGCCAGCTGGGGTACGCGGGC